AATGATTTGATAAAACATAATATATTATTATATTATGCAGTAATAAATAGGTAGAAGAATTAGTAAAAAAAAAAAATTAAAATTATTTGAAATAAATAAAAATAATAATAATATAAAAATAAATWAATTATGATATATATGATAATTATTGATTATATAGTGTGTTTAATTAGAGAATAGACATAGGTAGCATTTATAATGATTATTAATTATGTAGGTARTTGTTAGAATAAAACGTACTTCACAATATTTTAAATGTATAATTTAAGCTAATTTATCATTTGATGATTAAACATAATATATTATGCAGATTATTTTGTATAAATACTTAACAATTTACATTGCCCAATATACCTCGGACATTGTATACAATGCCCGGTCACTGTATACAATGCCCGGGCATTATATACATTGTCCGAATTTTCCACTTTGCCCGTCACATATATATATCAACTTTGGATTGATAATGTCATTGTTAAGGAATATTTAAAACTATTGAATGATAGATAATTATTAGTTTGGCACAAATTAATAGGTTTTATTATTTTCAGATATGCTTGCATCTTCACTGAGTTCAGCAAAACAAACAAATTTAAAAACCCTCAAAATGAAACTTACTGATAAACTATCACCATGTCTGACTATTGAATTAGATCTGGTTATATTATTTATAAATAATTTGGTCATAGATTAAATATACTATGTATACTTAATATATGAAATTGCATTAAATACTTATATAGTTTGATTAAAATTAATAATATATTATTCACATTTTAGGAATCTCAAGTATCTAGTAAACAGTTATGTACTCATGACATTCCAGTTTCTGTAATACTACCAAAAGATTGGTCAGCATATAAGGAACCAACCATACCTGCACATAATGTAATTGTATTTACAAGTTTTAAATTTTTCTCCTTATCATTAAATATGATCAATTAATGTTTTAATTTGGGAGGGTGGGCTGTAACCCATCCTGATATCAGGCACATTAAAAGTAACCCATGGATGCTTTTCCCTCACACCCACCATATATGTATATTCACTTGAAAATATAAAAAAAATTTAAAAAAAAAATACAAGTATTTATCTGCTCAATTTTCATTTTTCATAATATTAATATTCTGTATATATGTTTTCAGTGCTTTTACTTTAAGGTCGCCACATACTGCAGCGGTAGCGGTGGCGGTGGCGGTTACGGCAAAATGAAGCCGGACTCAATTTTACCGGCACCGCCAAGACAAAAGAATTTTACCGCCACCGCTGCAGTGTGTGGCGACCTTTATACTGTAAAATTATACGTGATAATCTTATCAGTGTACCAAAATAAATACAGGCTTACATACAGCTAATTATATTTATCATAGGCATAATAAAATAATTATAAACTTTAATTAAAAATTAAATGATGACATTTTTTTTTTCCAAAAAAAAAAAATAAGAATTACAGTTGAATTTTAAATGGTTTATTAATATCTTAGGAAACAATTAAATAATTTAATAAGTTTCTCCATACCTCACTAGTTACACTAATGATTAAATATTGTATATTTAAAACAATCAAGACATTATTAATAATATTTTTGGTGTACCATTTTGAATTAAAACTTCTATACTCAATACTCATACAAAATTATTAATTTTTTGATTTAATTTAGATTAGTGTCGTCATGCCATCGATACGAGTTGTACGGCACATTGTTGACAAGATGAAACGCATAGGTCCCAGGTTAATGGTATCATTGGATTCTTCTGGGAAAATGGTTTTAGGAGTATCAAATTTATCAGCCACAGTCGACACACATTTTATAGGTCTTGAGATTGTTAATGTACAAAATTCAACTGGTGAGTTGTTACATTAAAATTACATTTTAAAAAAAAATTATATACCTATCAACATTTTAGAAGTAATTTTTTTCAGTCAATTTACCATATAAAACTTGAATTTAAATTTTTACTAAATAGCTTACTATTAGTTTTAGGTTCTGAGCTGGGATTTTTATTGATTTTACAATGTGTGTTTTTTTTTAAATATTGTATATATCATCCCTATGGAACGGGTTTAAATGCTCTATAAAACAAGGAAAATGGGTTATTGATTTAATGCTCTCATTACAGACATTTTTATTTAAAAATGCACTAAAAAAATAATCTAATATTAAAAAAAATTGTGTTGTCATTACATAATTTCTTGATCGTATGATTTTATTATTCGTCTTCTATTTTATTTTCACTCTTAAATTTGTACTTTTAATAATATAATAACTTATAAAAATAGAAGTACCTAAACAACGCATATTTTATTTTAGTATGTTGAATGAATTCTAACTAAATTTTTATTAAATTTTATCTTTTCTAATATAAAAATGACTTAAAACATAAAAATGTAAAAAAAAATTATTTTAATTTCAAATAATTCCCTAATCATCATCCTTATTGAATGTATAATTGCTTATATATATATTCAGTGTATGGAAAGAATGTCATTCTTGAACCCTGGAACCCACATTCAGACGTTCACATTCATAGTTAGTGAACGAAACGCAATTGTCACTCTTTTTTTTCAAATGGAACGTGAACAACGTTTATATTTTTAATGAATTTGAACGATTTTTAAGATGCTCAATTTATTTACTATTTAATAAATGTATATGCTCTAAAATTTATAATATGTTTTTATTTTTGAGTCCATATTATGTTTATGAGTTTTTATATAAAATGCTAGTAAACTGTTGATAAACAAAATATTAGATGAACAACCAATGAACGCATTCATTTTTTTWAAAAAATTGAATGTGAATGTGTTAATTTGAAAAAAAGCGTGAAAATGAACCAGTTTCTTTTTTTAGTGATTGAACGTGAATTAATTTTATGAATTAATTTTTTTAGTGAATGTTGAAAACACTGTATATATTTGCTGTATAATTGATATTATAAGTATTTGTATTGTGTTAATTTTTCGTGATTGCAATTTTATCATTAGGTTTTTTTTTTAACATTAATATAGAATAGTTTTGTATAATTTATGCTTTAAATATTTAGACTTTCTATTCTTGTCAAGTATTTTTGTAACTTTTAAGTTAATTCATTATTAAACTTTAGTACATATAAACTGGTTTCAGATAAGGAAAACAAATATTCTACGGTAGTTGATATCAAAAAATTTTCACAATTTTTAAATTGTGAAACACTAAATTTATMAAAAATATTATGTCATGTAGTTGAGGGAATGCTGTTACATTGCTCAATAGAAGAAGATGAATATGTATTACATTATTTTTTGAGTGGAATTGATGATTAACATTTATATATCAAATCTGTAAATAAATATATAATTTAAATAAATATTTAAATGCATTAATTTATTGTGAACTAAGATCCATATAAACATAAAGGAATGTAAGCTAACAGCTTACTATTATTATTAAACTATATACTTATAAAAAAATTAAAATTAAGGATTGCACTATATCAAAATTGAAAGTTAAGGCCAAATACATTTTTTTTGTGTGCTGCTCTACCAGCAATATAGATTCTTAGCTGTATATCCTGTATGTAGACTGATTTGATTAATTATGATAACATGTCCAAATGTTGAAATGTAATACTACAAAAGTTGTATGCGTGAAGATATTTGGCACTGAATGGCAAATTTGAATATATTGTTCTACTGAACAGGGATACTGAGTTTTCAAAATTGCTTGTGGTGCAAGGATATTTATTACTTTTAAGCAATATGTTTCTGAATATATTATGTTATACTACCTTTTCCTTTAATTATACATAATAACAAAATAATAATGTAATACAATTTTGATGTTCTTATAAAATACAACTTTAAATTTTCAAATAAAACAATCACATACATTCTAACGTAAAAGTCTATATTTAAATATAAAATAGTAATCAGAATTGTAGAATATAATAGTTAAAATTAATAATAGTAATAATTTTAATTAATAAGTCATAGATATATTTTTCCTAACCTTAGCTAAATTAATAATTTGCTGATATATTGGTTACCAATTTCATTCATGTCCATTAATTCTTTATGTAAGTTAATTATTGATAAATCGTTAATTGTTATTTGTTAATTTATGTCATTGTTAACCGAAGGAAAGAAAATAAGTCCTCTGCTGTACAAAACATCATTGATACAGTTAACTATATTTTAATCTTTCAAATATGTTTCTCTTCTTATAAATTGTATGATATCAAAAATTAACAATAAATTAATATTTTTTGTTTTAAAGTAYCTAATAATAAATTATAGCAATATTATAAAACTATAAAAGTGATTCTAGTTTATTTTTATCAAAATGTGATCCATAAAATCCTATATTAGATTATTATATTTAATTTTCACCAATATGTTTCTCAAATACAGCTAGCTGTCCAATAACTTTTTTCAAAAGAAAATCTTGAAATTATGATGAAAAAACTAACTTTTGTATTTATTTTTAAACTTCATTAAATTTTGCACTAACTTGGTAGTAAATTGTTAAAATGAAAGAAAGATATTAATAGTTTTTAGTCGTTTACATTTTTTTTTTTTTTACTCAACATTAACAATCATAGCTAAGCTATAATTGATGAAAATAAGTAATAACTAATTTTTTTTTTCGTAATTTCATATGGTACTTTTACCACATGAATAATTCCGTGTGATTCAATTGTGTCACTCCTCATCGTTACTTCGCACTCATGCTACGAACTTCTTTATATACCTAATATATATGTCCTCGTCTCCGTGTCCATATTGGTATGGACCACAAATTTCCAATGAATGTGTGAATTGTGGATTTTTAAATCAAAAGTTTAAATTTAGATAGGTCCTGGATTTCCATTCTACGGTCAACCACTACATAAAATCATACTCTAAAACCACATGAAGTTTACATTTACATCTTACATTTTTACCTAAGTATAATCCTTGTATGTCATTTTAATTGTAATAAGTTGTATTATGAAATAAAGACACTTAAATTTTTAGTCATAAGTTAAGAGGACGCCACACTCGCATGTGTTGTCTCCGTCTTACAAACTTATAACATAGCAAGTATAGAGGAGAATATTATCTGTGCAATAGCGTCGTTATTTTTTTGATAATATAAGTACACTTTAAGTTATCAGTTTGAGAACATAAGTTTTTTCATTTAATTATTGAAAATTATTGGTTAATGCTATCAAAAAAATAACGATGCTGTTGCACAAATAATATTCTTTCCTATACGTTGTGGAATTTTGGTAATTCTACTATAAATACAAAATGAGTAAAGTTGTCCCGCGCTAAACAGATTTCGCCATGTTATACGTTTGTAAGACGGAGACAACATATTATGCGGGTGTGGCGTTCTCTTAAGTTAAATCTATGAGTTTATAGGTACCTATAGGCACTTTAATATGCCTATACAAGTAAATCTTAAGAATAGGCGTAATTTGCAATACTTGCTCAATTATTTAATCACTTTAAATAGTGAGGGTCCTTTCTACTTAAGTTTTTTTGGACCTGTTGATCATAATAATAATCTAAATATGCCTATTATTATTGACTTATAAGAATACTTTTATTAATTAAAATTATTTCAGTTTATAAAATTCTTTTAACTCAAATGTATGGTTTCTTCAAAATTCAAATTAATTTATTTATCATTCTATAATAAGTTGTTGTCTTATTTTGTTTTTGTAATAATTTAGCTGGAATTATAGTACGTACCAAGGTACCTATATAAAGAATAAGTTGAAATGAGATAATATTAACGTTGGCAGAAAATAAATGGGCAATTAGAAGAATATATTGATATATATATATATATATATATTTTAATTATCCCGCGGCAACTAAGGCCATTGGAAAGGGGGTAGTACTGTAGGTTCTTATGGAACTGTAGGTTGGTTTTACACGTGGATGATAGTTTTTGCATAATTTCTATTGGGGCACCCGTAGGTTTCTGCCATGCTCCGGAGTGGGGGATGGCGGCACTTGTTCTCCGGACACCGTGACTTGCCCGGAGAAAAATGCCACCCGATGGTCGAGGATTGAACCCGGTCCGGCTGAGCCACAGCCGACGCGGTAGACCACTCGGCTTGCGGCCACCTCGTCCCCCTGATATATATTATTTTGATATATAAGGATATATCGCAGGTCTTAATTTACACTCAGCTTTTTTTTAGATTCTGAACGAAGTGATGAATGTATTGATTTTAAAATGATGTGTGTTTTTTTTTTTGTGTGTCTGTGTACAGTAAGGTATCTATAAAATAAATTTCAAATAATTTATATCAGATTCATTATATGTACCCAATTCACTCGGACTTGTCATAATATAGGTACATAGTACATACAATACACTATAAAGTATTAATTTAAGTCATTAACGACATTAACTATTACAATTAGAATATAAAGTATAGTCTATAGAAACATTAGGAACTCAAGTATTCATGAATAATGTTTTTAAACTACAACAGTTCAACTAAAATTGTTATTCTTGGTTATTTAATATGTAAATTTAAACTTAAAATAACTATAAAAAAAACTGTGGTTGTAAAGTTGTAAGATTTTTTTTATTGGAGAATTAAATACTTACGCGGAACCTTGTTTTAAATTTTTAATCCTTAGCTATAAAAGTTAAATRTTTGATACATTTTTAACAACTAAATAATTGATAAATGTTCAATTAATTAATTTTGTCAAAATTTGAATTTTAAATAATGGTTATAAAAAAAAACTTGCCTATATGTATTTTAATATTTTCCAACTGCTATTAGGTACATCAACTTATGATAGGGAATATTGTATCGAATTTTCAATTTTTTTTTACCAATCGAATAAAATTTTATTGACATTTATAGAATAAAAAAACTAAAAAAACGGAAAATTTTAATTGTCAATAAATATTGATATAAGAATTGATAAAATAAATATATGGAGTTCATTTTAAGTTCCTAGAGTTATTTGTATTTGAATAACAACAAAATAAGAATATTGGTACAAAAAAAAAAATTAAGTGATTGTCCAATGTTGTAACAATATGAAATTTAAATGTTCAAAAAAAATGTAATTTGACTTTCTGGTAGAAATTTTTTATTTGATAAAATTAGATAAACTTATGAAGAATATTGAATTAAATTTTCAAATCTTGGATTTAAAAGGATACATTTTTTTGAATTTCTAACTCAAAATAATTGAAAATTTTTGTGATTTTTACGTATTTATATCAAAATTCAAGTTTTAAAAGCTTATATAAAAACTTACAATTGAAATTTTCTATAAATTTTACATATTTTAAATATTTTAAAAGTTTGTCAAGTATAGAAAATGTCAGTTTAAACAATCAGTGAAAATTGCATGTGTCTGCTATAATTTGTTTTAGAACACCACAATATCTACAATCGATTTTCTCAAAAACTGGTTTTGCGTTAAAATTTCCGTTTTGTTTTTACCGGCACATTTAAAAACTACTGAGATTTCAATTTTTGATCTCCATCCCCAATGTACCAACTAGATTCACTTTCCCATCGGACAAGACACTGTTGAAGAAAATCAAAATATTATTTCGACTGAATTTCGACCTTTCCAAATGTACCAACTTATTTATTCACAAACCCATCAGAAAAGATATTGAAGTTGAAAATCGAAGAATTTTGAATAGGTAATCAACGTGTAGATAAACGGATATAAAAAAAACACATTATTATAAAATCAATAATCAATTGCTTCGCTCAGAATCTAAAATAATGGTAGGTAGGTATCTAGAGTTGGTTATGCATTACCTAAGTAGTAATAAAGATTATATTTTAAAACTGGCATCCCATTAGATATATAAGTTTTCTTTAATTTTTCCTTTTATATTTTTATTTTGAAATTAAAAAAATGCAGAAGTGTAACTTTGTGTCACTTTGGGGTGAATAATTTTTACACCAAATTTTTAAATTGAATGACGAATGTATATAATGTCATTCATAACATACGCTTATATAATATAGTACCCAAATTATATGTATACTTAATACCTATACTACGATGGATACAAATGTTGCCATCCCTATTAACATTTAAAAACTAAATTGTTTGTATTCARCATATAATAAATTAATATTTTAATAAAATTAGGTAGCTAAACATTTTGTACAAGTAAAAAATTGGCAACGATAAGTTGTGGTGTTGTAGTATTGTTGCAGCAAAATAATTATCAACAAAAACAAAGTTTAACAAAATTGGAGAGTGCCCCAACGACGGCCAACATATTTGTTGGATCCTTGGATACATTTCAAATGCGTAAGTCATGATTGTGCATTTGTGCTACAGACTTTAATTCACAGTTAGATTCCTAATTTAATATACTTATGCAATAAGTATTAGTGGTTAGTACTTTAGAAGTTAGGTAGTAACTAGTAATGTCGTATATAAATAAATAATATGTACCTATGGTTTAAAACATTTCAAAAATTGTCGCAGAATAGTAATAATATATTATATAATTATTAGTACCTACGAGTATAATTGAGTACCTATCTAATTAAGTTGTTAGTTATTTAATATTTACATGGCCTGTGTATTATTTGGGATACATTATACTACGTGAGATAGATACGTTAGTTAGGACATTGGTAGTTAGTATATACCTCTATCGCTCTATCATATAGAATTATGGAAGGTAGTTACAGCTACTATAGGTATCTATAGGCTATAACCTGTTGATTATTACGACGGTGACGCAGCTGCGTGCGATTAGATTACGTGCTATTTTTTTTTATAGCAATAGGTTTCGATATATTCTAATAAATATATTATATAATGGGTACCAACTTACTGTACTAACTATATTCGTTCATGCATAGTTTGTTATATACAGCTATTATATTAGTATTATATATCGAAATGCCCTTTTGTTGTATGGCATACAAAGTGTGAAATTATTAATTATTATTATACCTTATAATAATAATAGAATCTGTTCTTGTTAATCTTAAATTCCTTGTATATGCCAATGGCCATAGACGCCGAGGCTTATTTATTTAAATAAAAAATAACAATAATAATATAGTACCTAACTATGTAATACGTAATAGAGCAATAATTTATATAATAATATTATTTTATCACACTATCACAATTAAACATAGATCAACTTATACTTGTAGCCCCTCCGCGTATTCAAAATACGGCTTATCGGTATATCGAGTGTTCAGTACACACTCCATGTTTATACAACTGATAGGTATATAACCGTACCATCAGAAAGCTACCATTTTCCTACCTACCGTTGTAGAGTCGATCCGTCGATCGTGCACGTGCATCTTACCTATGCATAACAGCCGCGCGGTAGGTATATTTGCCACGGCCATCACCCATTGCCGTATTTTATGACATTCGACACATCACACATGTGTATTAGATAGGTACTATTGGCGTAAATACAATTGTTTTATAATATTTTCGTCGTTTTACCATCGTGTTTTTATAGACAATAATWCTCGCTGCAGTGTTCGTGTGCGGTATACGAAACAATCAGATTGCAGTGGCCTATTCTCGTATATTACGTAATATATAATTATTATTATTCGCAATCATGTTTAATGGGTACTATGGGTCAACGTCGGAGAGCAGCGACAGCGACGCGCCGATCGACGACGGATCATCCGTTAAGACGATGGACCTCAACTACCTGTTGCTGGACGGCGACACTATCCAGAAGCATTTGGACGACATGTGCAAGCGCAGCCGGCCAGATGGTATTGACACGATGCTGCTCAACCATAACGCTATGCTATCRTTGCCACCTGCAATCAATCGGTTCCAGCACCTCCGCGTGCTCGACATTAGCAACAACCGGTTGACGCATGTGCCCTACTTCGTGGCACGGTTACCACTCACCACGCTTGTCGCCAAGAATAATCTTATCGACGATGACGGGTTCCCTAAGGAGTTCGGCTGTGCTGCTCACCTCAAGGTGCTTAACATTAGTGGTAACCGGCTGTCACACTTTCCCCAACAACTACTGTCGGTCACCACTCTCGAGTACCTGTACATGGGCAGCAACAATCTAGTCGAGATACCCAAAGATATCAACAAACTCATCAGGTATAATATATTAATATACGATAACTTAARAGTTAAGAATATATTACATATATTATACCTAATTATTGTTATTTAAGTTTTTTGGTTGTGCCATATGTTTTTGTGTGCGTTTTGGTCACGTGTTGGTCATGATGCTCAAGATTTCCGATAAAAAACGAATTGCGTATCTAAAATTGTGCAAGACGTGCGATTACCTACAATAATATGATATTTGGTGTTAATCGTTGTGGATATAGTACATCACTGCCTCATTTAGCTTGGATTGAATAAATATCAATTCATACCTATATGTACCTACTATATACTCGATAGTCGTATGCATATTCTTACACAGCTAAGTTTAAAGCAGATTTCAAAAATAATATCTTTAATTTTACATGCAGCTTCTGAGCTTCACATACCTATCTGAAACATGTTTAGGGCAGGTATTTAATATTTACAGTTAAAATCATTCACCWAGTAAAATTTAATACATTTATAGAGAAGTTAAAGTATATGTGTAGGTATAAATAGACAATGCGCAAACGATGATTGGCTACTGATACGCAAACAATGTACGGTATTTTGGCTAAAATAAACAGATRATGCGCAAATGATATACATCCATAGAAAGGGCCAATTCAATTTAATGTATTTTAACTAGCTTGTAATTAATAAATGTATATAGTTTAGTGTTTAGTTATGTATGCCGTTTGGGTAAGAGTGTGTACCTTACGATATCGTCAACGAAACCAGAGACAAACTTTTAAATTTAATAACGTCATTGACCTTGGCCTTTTGTCAGATCAAAGTTCTTCAGTTGTTGTTCTCGTATATAGTCCTATCTACACATAAGTTAAATGCAGTTGTAATTTGTTAGTACAACAATATTATTATTATAATTATCATTATTATTATGATCTGTCTATTTTTATGAATATATATGTATTATGTATAGTATGTACACACAAAATAATAATGTAGGTATGTATTATGTCGAACAAAAACATGGTTCAATCATCATTAATATAAAAAATTAAATATTCATTTTAATTTTAATTTTAGTTAGGAAGACAAATAATTAAGGTATTAATGTGGTCTATGGTTGTATAGTAGCTAATCTAAGTGGTAGTTGTAGAACTGTAGAAGAATACAAAAAAATAAAACTAGATCGTTTGCGTCGAGTGGACTGGCGTGTAGCCGTGTAGGTATCATATTTATTAAAATACAAAATTAAATAATGCACTGGTTTAGTAGGAATGACGTAAGTGAAATTACATCCAGCTCATTAATTTGTGTAAAATATACCTATACATACATTCTTATTACCTACTTAATATATAAAGGTAGTTTGTAGAATACAAAAACTTTTTGCATGGGTCATGAGTGTGGATTAGAAGTGGTTCCAGAGTATATTTTATTTGGGAGTTAGATTGTGGTTCTTAGGTATATCCGGTGTAGGAGCATTAATTAATTATTAAATATTAAATAATATATAGTGTCGGTGTAATATAAAAACATATAATAACTGGATATACATACTATTCATTTATGCTCTATAAATCAGTTTAAGCCAATCATTTAAAAAAAGGCAGCGTAGGTATTAAAAAACGATTTTTGTATTGTAATAAATATATATTATGATATATTTACCTAATATTTTATGTGTATAAATAATATTATCGGGTATTTATTGGGTAACATTTCATTGTTAAAGCGGTTATACGTCACAGATTCATCACTCTGCATTATTTCATACTTATAAATTTTTTTTTCTGTATAGTTTTAATTCATTATATAGAAATATCCACACAGATTATTAAGGAGAAAATAAGAGACTACAGCCTCCCCCCCTAATGAGTTTGGTCCTAATTTAATCTATGTGATACTGTTCAATCGCACTTGTAGTATGTAGAATGTAATTGTAGTCACTATACCTAAATATCCAATAAGGTTGTAATATTTTGTTTTAGATTGAAGTTCTTGTGTTTGGGTGGAAATCATCTGTCAGATGTGCCTGTGACTTTAGGTATGTTGGATAATTTGAAAGCGCTAAACTTGAGTGATAACTCACTGGAGAGTTTGCCACCGGCCATTGCCAATCTCAAACATCTAAAATCGTTGATGTTGCACAAAAACAGACTTCGTACACTTCCTGTAGAAATCATATCATTGAAGTGCCTCACAGAGGTAAATACCATAAAAAAAGTTGATTTATTCATATTAATTTATGTTTAAATACATTGGATATGGCCTTCTTTGGCCTATTATCTATTAACGTGGGCTGTCGAGCAATGTCACGGACCACGGTCTTTATGAAGACATATGCATGTGTACTTTTCTTCGTTATAACTGATTGAGTGAGTACTCAAACTTTATAACTTTTAAGAGGACGCTACACCCACATGTGTTGTCTTACAAATGTACAAGGTACAACGGCAAGGCAAAAGCTATTTGCTCAGGACAACTAGTATACTCCTAGCTTATGTATTAAAAGTAGAATTACTAATTAAAACTCCACAACGCATATGGAAGAACTTTATCTGTGTTATAGCGTTTTTATTATTTGTATAACATTAAACAATTAAAGTTATTATTGCTATATAAAAAAAAAGGTTTCGATATAGAAAATGTTCTTCCCTATGCAATGTGGAATTTTGATAATTCTTCTAAAAATACAGAGTATAGTTGCCTCTCATAAAATAGTTTTTGCTATGTTGTACATTTTTAAGATAGATATTATCAAAGATGGGCAAGTTAATGAAAATAATTAACTCGAGTTAAGTTAAAAAGACACATGATCGTTTAGTTAAAAGTAAATAATTAACAAATCATAAATTTAACCCGACAAGTTAAAAGTTAATATGGAAAAATATGTTAACTTAACTCTGCTTAAAAAAGTTAATCTTTTTTTTCTTAAATTAGTAGGTACCTATGTAAATAACATAAAGAGTGACTGTGCGTGTCTATCTAATTTAATAGAATATAATATCAATATACAAAATTTTTTTATTAAAAAAGAACAGAAATATTTAAGGTATCCGGCAGTGGCGCCAAAGTCCAAAATTTTATCTATGACATCAGATACCTCCACATGAAATTTTGACACCCACCTATTTCTTATAATTACCTTACCCCTAACCTTATAGTTTTTATGAAATATTATCAACTTTTAGTTTACAATTGACAGTAATGTCTAATACATGCAATTATCCATATCGTAATATATTTAGAATGACAAACGTAACCCTCCAATACCTACTAAAATCACCTATGACAACACTGTCATAGGTTAATATATATTTTGGCGCCACTGGTATCCGGTAGGCATTGGATTATTTTTATTTTATATTAATATTTACGTATAAAAACAAAAATTTTAAAATGTTTTTAACTTGATGGATTATTTTTAAATCAACTGAGAAAAGCTAAGTTATTTCAACTGTCAATTTAACTAGTTAATTTCATAAGTTCATTATTAGAACCTAAATTAACTAGTTAAGTCAAAAAGTTAAAAATATTTAACTTTTTAACTTAATTTTAAATTTTCGACTTATTAATGCCCACCTTTGGAGATAATACATGCTGGTGTAGCGTGCTCACAAGCAGTGAAATTATATATAGATACTTATCGGTACATAATTTTCATACGAAATAAGTTGAAATCAATAGCAAGTTTTATACTGGGATTTTTTAATAAAATGTATAAAATTAATAACAACAAAATGATTACCTACTTGTTTAGTGACGGAGAAGACAACTAAATTGTGTATTTGGAATAATTTTGTGGTTGTTTATTAAATAGAGCTTATTTTTTTAGAGATTTATTTTTGTAAGAAAGGTAGAAGGCTTATTAGTTATTGATCTGATTATATGATGATGAAATATCGTGAGATTGACTAGGTTTTTACTAATAAAATTAAAAACTTCCATTGTAACAGAAAATATGTAAGAAATAGATATTGCATACAAATACAAGTGCGAATGATTACAAATTTTCTTGAAAAGTAATCTTCGAGTACGAATTTAAATGTCATGAAGTTGAACACAAGTAATTTTTATTGATAGATAAATGCAGGAATACAATTTTTAATTTTAATAGCTAAGTGTTGAAATGTAGTACGAGGTTACTCATGTTCAGTAGTTCATATAGTTTATTCACGCCTAACCAAAAAATAAATCTAAAATAAATTGTACACACACAATTTTTTTGTATAGACATTTTGAAGTTCAAATGTTAATGCAATTTTATATTTAAACGAAGAATTACGATTTTAGCCATTTTTTTTGTAATTCAAAKATATTTTTTATGAGTGTTTGGCAACTTTTACATATATTTAATATAGACACTTATAATAATTTTACAATGTCATGGTGAAAATTTCATAACATTTAGATAAATTTAACTATTTTGCCAATTTATACCAACGAATCTACTCGCGTTGTTCTTCGGAAGTTGGTATTCAATCAAAAGTTGATTTCAATAACGATACTAATAGTATATACCCTAGCTGTTATAAATTAATAAATATTTTTTATTAATAACATACCTAATAAGTGTGATGCTTTAATGTTTTGAACAATAAGTAATTCAACCTACAGTATTACTGATATCAAAATGAAATAAAAACAAATTAGCATAAACTTTCAATATAAGTAATAATACAAAAAATACATAATAAAATATACTCAGAAATAACCGTATATCTGTTCTGAATCATCTTTCGTAAGCAATGAATTATGATTTCAAATGATACATATATTATATTACTATATGAGCATAACCACAGATACAAAAAAATATTTTGTAATTTTGGCATTTTTTTTGAAGGAATAAACAAGAGGTAGGTACCTAGCTATAACTTGTAACTATACATAATACCATCAACTGCATTATCAGTTGAAAGTTATACATTTTTATGTTACAGTACTTTGTAACTTTTGCTTATTCCAGATTGTATATTAAAAATATAGGTATATATAAAAAAGTTATACATCTGAATATCTGATGAAATAAATATAATATATTATAGCACATATTATGCAGGTAGATTATGTACTTATTTGGTGTCTTACCTATTTATATTAACAATATGATTTGTATAAGGAGATCAACAAGCACCTAATAGCTATTTAAAATTAAATCACCTTAATAAATTGTGCTTTATTTCTAGTTAAGCCTGAGGGACAATCCATTGGTTGTGAGATTCGTAAGTGATATGACGCATAATCCACCATCTTTACTCGAACTGTCTGCTAGATCAGTGAAAATTAACAATGTACAATACGGAGAACGCGATTTGCCATACAATTTGATTGAATATTTATCAAGCGCACATCATTGTGTCAATCCTAAGTGTAAAGGTTAGTAGTTTAATATTAATATTTTGGATTAGGTATATAATAAACGCTAATAACATTTTGAATTGTATTGTGGTACGTATTTTAGTAATCAATAATATATATTTATGAGCAATAATCACTAATTATACAATATGAGACAGGGATAACTAACTATAGGTAGGCTGTAGGCGTTACTCTGTGGTACTCTGTCATCGAGACCTTCCTCTTAGGTAGGGTATTAGGTAATGATTCGCATATAAGAATGGATTTTAGTGTTTTACTTTTAGGTAAGAATTAAAAAAAAATGAAGCTTTACTGTCAAATTCATTGTCGGCTAGGATTTTTTTTTTTATTAGTTTATAAACAGCTAGGACCCCACGGAGCGGATTTAGTTAAAAAGCGTCACATGTACAGTAATACCAACAATTAATCGTAGAATTTGGTTTTATACGATTTCTCAAACAATAACCTACCTAATGTAGGTATTACATATCTATGCAGGTAGACATCTTATGGTTGTATAACGTGTAATCGTGTAAACTATGAGATCTACAATAGGATCTATTTTATCAACGGTGTAGAGCAGAGGTTCCCAAGCTTTTTTGACTCACGACACCCTAAGTTATTTCCTAAAAATCTGGAGGCATTCTATGACCTTATATTCTATACTGAACACGCAATGGTATAGCAATACCCCGGTCGGGGACCTCATATTATTAATATGGTACAGTAGCAGTCGACTCGTGTAGACGCGTAGACGTGTTGTAGTCAGGTACAACTGTACAAGTGTAGGTATTACGACTATAACGTACACAAGTGGAATATAACAAGTACTTGAACATGGATAACATTTGTTTAATTCATSATACAATGGAGTTAGCCATATAGGTACTTATACAATACCTATAACGTATGTGGGCCCAGTGGGCATCCATACTTCGACAGCTAGCTATTTCTATTTTTAGTACATAATACCAATCGCCGATATTATCTTCATTGATATTATTGTCTTGTCTCCATTATAATTATATTATATTAGAAAATTTATTTTTCGTTAATTTTGTTTAGTAACTTTTATAGATTACAAATACAGTTATTTAATTTTAAATTCTGTCATAATATACCATTATAGTTGAGTTACAAAATATCCAAAAGCGTTAACATTTCGGCTGGTGGTAGGTTGGAGGAGATAGAGGATATTCAGTGGTAGTCAGTAATCCACTACTCTATAGCCATATAGGCAATGAAGAAAAAATGAAGCTCCAGAGGAAAATTGCGGCTAAGGCCTTTCATATGCAAGGCTATTACTCAGATTAGTTTTATATTAAATAATTAGAATTTATTTTTTTGGCTTCCATGACGTATTACCATCAATGGTATTACATCGTTTGAGCTATTCAATTTTGAAAACAGTACAGGATATAATATATTCTGTTCAGCGAGAGAACTCACCGATTCTGCTTATCTACCCTCGTCGCCATATGCTTCTGAAACCGATTTCCCTAAGGCAAGGTGTCGGATGCGTATGAAGAACTGATTTTGAACGATCCTCGGTGTGTTCTCTTGCTGAACAGTGTAGATAGTAGATATCTATCTAGGAATATTAATCACTATGCACTGAGTTATTAAAATTTGGGTAGGGACCTACCTAGTTTACAAAATGAGTAGGTGCATCAATTATTTTTTCATAAAGAACATATTAATATATTATTTAATGTCGTTTTTGCGATATTTATCCCATAACATTAAAAGAGAGGATTGATATTTGATAACAAGGAATTAGTAGGAGGTTTATTTGTTAATTTTTCTAAAAAACGTTTTGAGGACTGTAGTCTGTAGTTAACAAGGTAGTTAGGTAGTTATAATAAAGGGGTTTGTTTGGTTTTTTAAGAACATTGGGATTGAAACTTATTGACTTCTACATAATATGTATAATATTTATTATTTTATAGCATTATTATATTAGGTGTATTATATAATTTACTCAGAGAAGTGTTTTAATATAAGTCCTAAGAATGAACATTAAATAAATATAATTCATCAACATAAATAGATGTGTTTATCTAACTATAGGAGCACGTCACATACCTACTACTTGTTAGAGAATATAAAATTAAAATTACAGAAAAATGCTTTAAAAGAAGTAGGCAGGTACTTGGTTAAAACTATGGGGTTAAAAACATGGGGAAGCGGTATGTACAATGTAGGTACCTACATGGAAATATGTCCAAGTAATATTCATTATTATTGAAAATACTGAAATCTACCAAATCAGCCTTTTTTGTTGTTAAACTCTATGTTAATTTCACAAATTTATATCTTAGAATTTTAGATGGTGGGTTGGTAACTACACAGAATATTCTATAGCCTCCACAAATAAACATGCAAATGTAAGAAGTTCCAAACTTGGTTATGTACCTACCTACCAAAAAATCACAAAGTCCCTATGTTATTATTTTTATTGTGCTCCTAAAGTTTAATTTTGGTAATTTTTATAGAGAAGATAGATGTTTTTGGAAAATTTATAAATTTTTCATAATTTAATTGTGCTATATAGAAGAACATTATTTTCTAAATATACCTATTAAAACCGTGATTTTTATTTATGGTGTACATTATACCTACCTACCTTTACAACTGTGATATTAACATTTCTAATTACTTTGGCAGGTGTATTTTTTGATGACAGAGTAGAACACATTAAGTTTGTGGACTTTTGTGGCAAATACCGAATTCCACTGCTACAGTACCTATGTTCATCAAAATGCATAGTCAACCACAGAAACATACTTGGAGATAGCACGGACAGCAATATGATGAGAAAAGTTTTACTCGGATAAATCTGTGAACATTTATTTTTAAAGAGATAGGTTACCTACCTACTTACTACACAATTTATTTGATTTATATGTAAATACCTATTTTCATACATACAAGCCCCTATTAAGTCTATTCAAGACAACTAAGGGTTGAATTCATCAATACAGTCATGGTACACTAAATAAATACTATAAGTACCTCTGACATTTTTTTGAGTTTTATATTGATGAAAGTAATTAGCAGGAAAATTATTAAAAATAAAATATTACTTATTAGTTATTACTAATAGGTAACCATCAATTTATAAATTATAAGTATTATGTTAATCATAAATGTTGATGAATAGTAATAATAAACCATTCACTGATATTCCTAGAMATATATAATTTATAAATATGAAATTAATAAGATATTAACATTTATTAGAAGTGTTAAAATATTTAATTAAAAAATTCTACATATCAATAATTATTTTATAATTTTAAATGACAAAAATTATAGATTTATAAATGAAAATAGTAACTTTCCATCAACTTGGGCGTATTTACATATGTGCAATCAAAATGAAAATTATCCTATAAAAATCCATTCAATAAGATTTTTGTTATAAATCTATAACTTTAACAATAGTTTTATAACTATAAGTATACCATCTGTTTTTATTTTTATAATTGTATATTTTTATTGACATATTACATGAAAGTGTATTGAATAAAATATCAATTGATACAAGTTGTTTGGCAAATAAAAACCATTCCAATTTAATTCTGAGATTGTTATTGTATACCTAACCAATAACCCTATGGTGAAATTGACATTTAGAGAAAAGTCTAGAATTACCTATGATTAAGCAATTTACTATCTTATTTAATTCTAAATTATTACTTTGGCCATTAAAATCATAATCCATCAACACCCCCTTAACAATTTTGATTACCCCTTAGTAAAACCGATTTCACTATATATGAATTATGAATAGTGTTCTCATCTAAAATATGTATACATATTATATTTATATATGTAGATAACAATTTTTTGCAATTGTTTAATTAATATTAACCTATTTGTTTGAATAGTTATTAAATGTATACCTATTAAATTAACAAAGTATGGTTTTAAAATAAGAACAAATAAAAAACTGATTAGTACATCTATTATTAAGTATTAAATAGTTAGGTAAACTTAGTGCTCTTTAAATAAGTAAATAATACCTTACAGTAGACATGCTTAACTGTGGAGTGGAGTGTAATGTATCTAATTACAATAAAAACAAAAAATTACATCATTTTAAGCCGATTACTACCTATATCAAAAGAACTTACTAAAAAATTATGTTTTATCTGTATTCTATTTGCACATAGCTGAATGTGATAGTAGTAAGTACCTGGTATACATTCATTATTAATTAGACATTTAGACCTTTTTTATATAATTTTTATTAAGAAAATATATTTTTGTTACCTATCTGAAGTTTCTATAAAATATTYAATATTACAAAAATGATAAAGTATTAAATCAACATAATACATGAAATCTAATTGTTAATAGGTAAATCAGTAATCAATTTTATAATTGTGCAATTATCGCTATTTGAGTAAAATAATATACAGAAACAGATTTATTATATAATAGATCTAACATTCTAACATGTATATTTAACAAAAAAAATAAATACACATTATATTTAGAAGAAAAGTCTTAAATTAAATCAAGCATTCATGTTTATTTACTTTTTGATTGTTGAATATGAGCTGGATAATGTGCATCAATTAAAATTTTAAAGCTTAGATTAGAATTGTATCCACCTTTAAGCATTAACTGCATGTTACATGGTACAGTACCATAATATTTGTGTTAAGCAATAACATTCATTATTGAAATTATGTTCATCAAAACATAACCTTAATTATAAGGGAATTTAAAATTTTAACACATATTGAAAACAATTAAATCAGTAAGTTTGGGAAATTTGCAAAATGGTTACAATTCCAGAAACTTACAACTTAAATTAACTTTATAAAGTTCTACTAAAAGACATATTAATATATTATATTAACCTTCATAAAGATAATTACCAACAGCTAATTGATTACTTAATAATACGTAATAGAAGATTTAAGTCATATCTCAAATGCGTTTTAATTTAATAGATAATGAAGTACAGTACAGACACAATTATTGTAGTGGATAACCTTGATTTCTGCTAAACATACATTATTTTAATCAGAGGCAGTTTGAGTATACTATTTTTGGTGCACTGCACCGACAATGTTAGGGGGATGGGTGGTGTTGGTTGAGCATGTGCTGACCGCAATATTTAATTTTAATGTTCAATAAATGCAAAAAGTAATAAAGTACCTAATCAATGACATATGATAAATGATAATCGTGGCTGAAACTATTGAAAGCGTC